CCCCCCCGAAACTTCGCAGCCGCCCCGTCGGGGACATCCCGCTCCCACCTCCGCATTCTCGCCTGCTATCTGGGGGGCCGCGGCAGAAGGCCCATCGGCCTCCAGCCCCTGCTCTCCCGCCAGCATTAAAATCTCGGAAAGCATGGCCGCCTCTGGCAGCGCGCCGTCGCGCCGAACGACATGAGAACCACCGCCAGCTCCTCCGAGACGCGCCCAAGCTGCTTCGCGTCGACGCGGTCCGCGCCGAGCCCCGCGCTCGCGTCGAACGCCTTCGTCGCCTGCCTAGCCGCTCGCAGCCCGGCTTCCACTGTCCTGGCCATCCCTGTGCGCCCCGACCTCGCCCGGTGCGCCGCCGCAGCGCCTGCCCTCCGCCGGCCCCCGCCAGGGCCGCCGCCCCCCCCCGAACTCTCGACCTCCAATGAGGGCCAAATCCCCCAGCGGAGCCCCAGGCGCCTCGCGCGCACGGGCAACTCCTGGCCCGCCGCTTCGCAGGCACCGCGCCGAGCGCCTCGCCAGCCCACCTCGCAGCCGCGCCTCTCCTGGTCTGGGCCGCGCAGCCCGCCGCCGCGAGCGGGCGCCGCGCACCCGACCGCGCCTCGGGCCTCAAGACTCCGCGCCACTGGCCGCCCCCCCAACAACATTTCGATCGCCTCTGCCCGCGCCGCGGCCCCCCTCGACGTTCATGCCCAGCTGGCGCGCCTTGGCCAGCGCCGCATCGAACTGCGCAGCGACCCGCTCGCGCGCCTCCAACGAGTCCGCCTCCTCGCGGGCCCTGGCCACCTCGCCCGACGTGGGCGTGCGCGGCTGCGGAAGCCCCGCAGGCCTCCTGGCTGGAAGGCCGCTGGCGCCGTCAGCCCCCCATCCCCCCTCGGCGCCCGCCCATGCGCCATCGGCCGCGGCCAGGCCGCCGAACGCGGTCGGCTGGGCCCCTCCAGCACCGCGCGCCCCTCGGCGCGGTGAATAAGTAAGGTCATTCGACACGGCGAAGCGATCCAAACGCGACGCCTCCTGCTCCGCTCAAAACCGGCAGTTGCCCGCGTCCGCGTCGTCGGAGACCGCCGTGCCCCCCGATGGGCGCGAGCCGCGGCTGCGCCTGCTCGAGGGGCTCCGTCAGGGCAATGTTCCACTCCCCTGCCATAAGGAAGGGGCCGCCCGCGTTCGCCGCGATCTCCCCCAGTTGCTCGAGCAACTCCCGCGACCTCTCGCCCGCGCTGTCATTAACTAGGTACGCGCTCGCTACTCGCACTCCTCCGCGCTGCTGCCCGCTGACCAGCGCTGCCGTGCACCTCCCTTCGCCGTCGACGTGACTCGCGCCAGCCTCCGCTGGCTCCGCCATGCCTCGCTTCGCCTTCACCGCAACTCACCATCGCTCGGACGTCCATTCCCTGTGTTTTTGTTTTTCGGTTTCGTGCGTGGTTTTTTCGCCAAATGATCAAGGGTGCTCCTCGATGGTCCTCGCCGGAGGAAAAATGCACACGTCCGAGCGACGCAACGCCAGTACCCCCTGAGGCTCCGTGCCTCCGGCCCGGCCTACGTCGCAGGGGCCCGTTTTCCCTGTGCCTGATGTCGCCGCCGCCGAGACGCCACGCTGCCGGCGCCACTGCTCCTCGGCCTTCGGCTTCCTCTCGAAGAGCTACCTGCGCGCGCCAGCAGCTTGCCGCGCGCGCGGCCTCGGTGGGCCCCGTCGCCCACATCGCCGCCAAAGGCTCCTATCCCGAACCGCTGGCGCTGACCACCACGCAGTTGAGATGCTTCCTCGACGTCGACTTGGGCAGCCTCGCGCTACCCGCGGTGGGGTCATCCTGCTACCGTCGTGCTACCAGCTGCTGCGCCGTCTCCTGGCTCAGCGGGTGGGGTCGCCAGGGCTGCTGCTGCTGCTGCTGCGACCCTCTTGCGCTCGAGCCCTGCCGACTCCGGCTGAACGCGACGCTGCCCGCGGGGCTGGTCGTTGCGGGCATGGCTCCCAATCCAAGGCGAACGCTCCCCACTCATCATGATCATCAGCATCATCATCCTCATCAGCAACCTCATATTCATCCTCAGCACAAGCATTATCATCATGACGGGCATCGTCATCCACATCATCATGATCAACATCGCCATCACCATCACAATCGCCATCAGACTCGTCATCGCACTCCTCATCATCACCATCATCATCATCACCATCATCATCATCATTCTTACCAAACTCAGCATGTTTATAATCTTCGGCATTGCCATCGTCATGATCATCATCATCCACGTCCAGATCCATGCCAGGATCACTCGCGGGAGCGTCCTCTGCCGCCGTGCTCTGCCAACGCCGCCTCCCGCCGCCTCGGCTGCGGTTGTGGCTGCGGCTGGCGCTGGGCCTGCGGCTGGTGGGGCTGCTTCACGAGCGCGCTCTGCCGCTGCTGCGTCTGCTGCTGCTTGGGCTGCGTCCGCCGCCGCCACCAAGTCCTGCACCTGCTTGGCGATGCCTGCGCCCTCGTCTCCTCCGAGCCTGCCTCTGAGGACC